TGACAGCAAACACATCTCAGAGGGAGAAACAGCGAGGAACAGGCAGAAATTCAGAATGGGGCTGATCCTGACCCAGAGCTGTGCCCAGCAGGAGCAGGGAGGTCATTCTGCCCCTGTACCTGGCACAGGGAGGGCACACCTCGAGTGTGACCTCACCACTTCTGGCCCCTCCGTTTGGGAAGGACATTGAGGACCTGGAGCGTGTCCAGAGGGGGCAATGAGGCTGGAGAGGGGCTGGGAACACAAACCCTGTGAGGAACCACTGAGGGAGCTGGGGGTGCTTATCCTGGAGAAAAGGAGACTCAGGGGTGACCTTATCACTGTACAGCTCCTGAAAGGTGGCTGTGGCCAGGTGGGGCTGGGCTCTTCCTCCAGGAACTGACAGAACCAGAGGACACAGCCTCAAGTCTCAAGAGAAATACAGGTTGGATATTGGGAAAAATTTTTGCCCGAAATAGTGACAAAGTTCTGGGATGGCTGCCCAGGGAGGTGGTGCAGTCCCCACCCCTGGGTGTGTTTAACAAAGCCTGGATGGGGCACTGGGTGCCAGGGTTGAATTGAGGTGTTTGGGCTGGGTTGGACTCGATGATCTTGAAGATCTCTTCCAATGCAGTCCTTCTGTGAATTCTGGGAATTCTGTGAATTCTGTGAATGACAGCAGTGCCCATTGTAAATCCTGTGGGAGAAGGAGTGGGAAGCGTGTCTGAGACACCACAGAGCTCCTCCTGCAGGGCACAGTGACAGCAAACACATCTCAGAAGGAGCAGCCCTGGGAAACAGCGAGGAACGGGCAGAAATTTGGGATGGGGCTGATCCTGACCCAGAGCTGTGCCCAGCCTGGAGGCTCCAGCCTCTCCCCATCACCCACGAGCTGTGGGAGCTCTGCTGAGGCACTGGGAGCTCCCTGCTCACATTCCCACCTGTGCCAGGGCTATTTCCACACTCCAGCCCTGACCTTGTGGGAATATCTGTGGGGAAGGGAGAACAGTTCTGTTTCCAAAGCAGGATTTTTTAATGAGGCCGAGAAGTTTCCATTCTGTTTGAGCTGCTGGCCTGCAGAGATGTTCTCCTACACACACTGGGCTTCCCACGTCATCTGCCACAGGCTCCCCCAGGGACAGGCCTCAGCAACACAAAAACCCCAATCCTTACCAAATATCCCAAAAGTGAAAAGGGCCACATGCTCCTTACAGGGCTGCCATGAATAGCAGTGCTTTAAAATTTGGGACAGGAAATGCAGAAATTGTGGAAGCTGTACAGTGTTTGACCAGATTGAAATGTGTATTTAAATGTTCATCTCTCTTACATCCCAAAATAGAAACAAAGATGATTTATCACAGCTGCTGCAGCAGAATCTGAGGACATTTCCTTGCCCTTTGGCCTCAGGATCAGAACAACTTTGTGCTGAGTAGAATTTTGGGGATAAAATTGTGGTCTTGTCCCCAGATGTCTTCAGAGGTCACTGCTGGAGCACAGAGATGCACTTTGAATTCATCTAAACTCAGCAAGGTGGAATTCTGAGCACACAGGCCAAGGCTGGCTCCCCGAGCACACCACACTCATGTTTGATCCTTTCTTATCTCCTCCTCCTTTGCTTTTCCCAGCCTTGAGGTATTGAGTTCCTGGGAGCAGAAAGGTGGTTCAAAGACCATTTCTCTTGAGTGCAATGTCAGAAGTGACATTTGGGCCCCAGCAAAGAGGGGCAGAGGGAGCTGCAGGGATCAGTTCTTGTTGGTTGGAGTCAATTCAGGGGTGTGTGCATGAGCTGCCAGTCATGAGTTCTGTGTCAGCATCTGCCACAGCCCCTGGCACTTCCCCACAGCACATTTCCCATTTCTGCTCCAAAAGCAGCCCTGTTTCTCCTTCCAAGTCCCCTGAACATCAATATATTCTCTGAAAGATGTACCAGAGGCAAATGTTATGGTTACAAATGGACTTCTGGAGGAAAAAACCTTTCTGCCAGAGCTAGGAAGAAGGAGAAACATTTCCCCAACATGCTGGGACCTTAGCAAGGTCTCTCTGGCTCTGCTAATCTCTTACTCCTTTTTTACAATGCATGAGGAATAATTACAACCAGTTTCAAAGCACTCTGACCTCCTCCTGTGATGGACACTATGTAATGGCAAATTCTTTTATTTTTAGCAAGCTCCGTCTCTGAAAATGTGTAGGAGGGCCAACAACAATATAAATAGAAAATCTTCTAACAAACAGAGCCAAAAGCAGCACAGGGCAGTAAATAAATCTGTAAAAAATTTGGTGTGGAAATAACAGACTCTGTGCATCATGCAAAGGCACAGATCTTTGCATGAGCAGCCCAAGGGGTGGTAAAGTGAAACTTCCAGAACCATCCAAATGTTTCCAGAGTCGCTCTCAGTTCTGCAGACATTCCCCCTCTAATTTAAGCTATTGTTTTTCCAAGAGAATTTGTATTTAAAACATGGGTTTCTTAGCTAAATATAAGTCCATTGTGCACAAAAAATGAATATCTCCTTTAAAAACAATTGTTACTCCACATGCCAAGGTTACACAATTTCAGAGAGTGTGAATCCTTCTGCGTGGCTCCACTCCCTGAAAAGGCTGCTCGGGCAATCTAGAAAATCAGACAAGGACCATGTCTGAAAACCCCTGGGTTTGATTCTGTATTTTAATCCTTCCAGAATTAAAGCCTCAAAGAGAGGATTTAATTCTGAGAGGAGAGGGGAGCTTGAGAGTAGATGGAAAACTTTGTGAGAATGCACAGCTTTTTTATTTGTACTAAAAGCCCTTCCCTCTGCACAGAGATTCCTGCAGGTGGTGGAACCAGCTTTGGGAGAAGCACAAGAAGCCAGGGCTGGTGCAGAAGAAACTCATATTGAACCGTATCAGCAAAGGAGCTCGAGCTCCACAGCTCTGCTTCCAACATGCAGCCTGAAACTGCTTTCACATTTGTTTTAAGCAACCAGAAGCCCTTGGAGCTGCCAAAAGCAGCAGTTTGACATTTCCTGCAGCACTGCTGTCTCATTCCTGCCCCCACACATCCCCTCTCCCGTGTCAGCAGCAGATCCAGCCCTGAAGCACATGGAGCACTTCCCTGCCCCTCCTCACGCAGCAGCTGCTCCATGCCCGTGCTTGGCACTCCTGATTTTCAAGTGCCACATCCAAGCTCAGCATCCTTTGAGCACAGTTTGCATTCTTTGTGTCTGCCTCACATTCATCCAGGCCAAAGCTCACCCTCCATGTGCCTCTGACTCCCTTCTGTGTTCCTCAGCACCACATTTGGTTACCCAAAACGATTTTGACTTTTTTTTTTTTTTTTTTTTTCAGTTGAATGTGCCTCCCTCCTGGTGCAAGCCAGCAGAGCTGTTTTCTTCCAGGAATGTCTTTGCTTGTATAGAATATTCTCCATGATCTTTCTGAACTTATCTGGCTTTTTTTTTCCTGAGCTGGAGCTCTTCTGGCCACCTAGAAGCTGACAGATCTACAGCTGTTTGGTTTTGGAGGAGGACTATTGTGATGAATGGTTTTATATTACTCACTAACATATGCTTTTAATAGCAAAAGGGAACAAAGGTTCCAGCACTCGGAGAGGCAGACAGTGACTTACTGCTGCTAACTAACCCCAAATTTATCATTGGCCTGCTCAATAACACATTTCAAAATGCTGCCCTATTAATTGACCACAAGATTTTGAGCTTTTTTCCTATTCCTCCTATCCTTTTGCCTCTTCTTACAAAACTTGTTAAGATTAAAGCACCTCAGTAAAGAAATTTACTGGAAAAGATTTTTTTTCCCAGTGTTTGGGGTTTTGCAAAAATCTGGAAGCAAATTGACACCGGAAGATTTGCAAACCATTCCCACAGGAGCCATGTCCCAAAAGACACAGGATCCAGCAGCTCCCTCCCAGTTTCATGAGCTGCATCAGCCTCCAGACCTTTCTTCCTCCTCTTCATCAGCTGCCAGGATGGTCAAAGGAGCAACGCTGGGAGCTTGCAGAGCATCACTGCACAAAGACTACTGCACAACAAGGCTTTAGAGGGTAAATAGAGCTTTGGAAAAGGGACATGTCCATAAATCTTGGGATTCTTGTGCTGATTTCAGTGCACTGCTGAGCCCCAGAGCTGGGTTTTCCTCAGGGCAGCTCACACTCAGCACATGCTGTGAGGTGTTGGTGCGGAAGTTGGGATGGGTGCTTTGGGAAGGGGCAGTGCTCCAGAGCCCTGCCCTGATTCCCCATCCCCTGGGAGCCCAGGCTGGCTCTGGACCCTGCTGGGGAGGGCTCAGGTGTGTGCTGTGGGTCAGAGCTGAGCCGTGAGGGCTGCTGGGCACAGAGAGCCTTTTTGGTGGCTGCAGCCTCTGCAGAGTGAGCCAAGCCCATCTCCTGCCTGCAGAAAATCTGCATTCCCAGGTCCCCATGAGCTGTGGGGGGATTACTTTGCTCTCCATTCCCATCCACATCTCCCACACAGCCTGACAGAGTCCATGTCCCAGCCTTGTCTCTGCTCCCTTCCAAGGAGTTTTCCAAAGATGAATGCTCCAACTACATTATTTTTTAAAGTTTAATTTACATCTGTTTTGTATTATTTTCAGTTCTGCTTTATCTGGGTCACTCCCTCCCCAGTGTTCTTCCCCCCCTGTTATCCCAGAGAGCTGAGAGCTGATTGTAGCCAGGGTTCAGTTCCAGGCTGCCATCCCACAGACCCCACCAGCTGTCCTAAAACCCCACTCAGTTTTCCTAGAGAAGCCATTCTCTCCTCATTCCCTCTGAAAGCCACGCAGCCCTTCCTCATCTCCCCAAGTCTGTCAGCAGCCCTAAATTCCCTTCCCCACGTTTGGAGAGCCTGCAGTGTCCCACTCCAGCGCTGCCCCACGTTCCAGCGGCCCTTTAGGACTCCCAGCACGCACAAAGGCGCAGATCAAATGTATCCCGGAGCATTCAGGGGATGTCAGCTGGGATTTGGAATATCCCACAGCTGCCGAAAGCTCTGAGGGGGGGTGTGGAAATGTGTTTGTTGCCCATCAGCTGCACACGATGAGCGGAGGGGGAGCGGGGCGGAGGAGCGGGGCAGGCACAGCCGGATTATGCACAGCGAGCACGGCCGTGACCGCCCCGCGCTCCGAGCGCTCCCGAGACGCTGTAAAGCCCCAAAATCCGGTTTTTAGCACAGAGCAGGCCGTGGGGAGGGATGGATGCAGGCGCAGCTCGCTCGGTGCCCGGCTGCAGGAATGTCCCGGTCCCCTCGTGATTGGCTGCGGGATGCTGGAGTCAGTTTTCACGGGGGCTGATCAAAAAGTTCCCTTCGGCTCTCCAAAGCCGCTGTCTGAGCTGAGGCATCGGCTGGAGGAGGCCGGGCGCTGCCGCATTCCTGGGGAGAACGTCTGGGATGAGAGGGTTTCTCCCCGCCGGGAACGCCGGGCGAGGACGGGCGGCGCGGAGCCGCGCTCCGGCTTTCCCCCCGCAGGCCGGGCTGGGCGGCCATCCCTTCGGGCATGCTCCTCATCCCTGAGGACACCATGTCTCAGTACTCCACCAACTTCCTGCTGCTGCCCATCCCCGAGTACCCCGCGCTGGACTGCGCGCCCAACAAAATCATCAAGCTGGTGGTGCTGGGCGGCAGCAGCGTGGGCAAGACAGGTAAGTGTCAGGTGTGTGCCCTGCTTTTCCTTCCCAGCTCCTTCGCTGCCAGACACACCCAAACTCGAGAAATTTACCGCAGTTTAACTACTTCAACTTGCCTTTTTAAATTTATTTTTAATTATTTTTTTTTTTTAAGAAAAGGGAGAATTTGTGAGGCAGATTTGCTGTAGAAGCCAACATGAGCCAGCAGCAAGTTTTGTACTCACAAATGCTTCTACCTAGTCTTGTGCAAATTATTTAACTTTAAGCTAAATTTCCACACCCCAAAAGGTGGCTTTTGTCCTCCTGCTGTGTTTTATGCTCTGCAGACAAGTCACAGCATACAAGATGTGCCTTTATTATTCTCCAAAGGAGAATGGAAGAAAAGAAGGTAAAGAGAGCATTGGTGCATTTGAATATCTGGTCCATGATTTCAGGAATTATGAAAAGCAGATTGATTTATTGCATCTGTGGTTCCACGGGATTCAGCAAAATGTTTGATTTTTTTGGCTTTTAAGCAGCCACATCTTCATATTATTTTAAAATAGTTTCTTGAAGATAGCTGCACAGGCAATTTCATCTAAAGGTGCTAAAGCATGACCCAGCATCACTGTGGGGAAAAAATACTGCTTGAAATGAAATCTATTATAAAATAATGTTGCATGCAGAATAAGACATTTTATTTAACTCTTAAGTGGTTTTGCAAGTTACTAGGAATCTGCTGAGATCAAAGCACCACAAGAATATAAATTACTGTTGCCACAATGGGATTTAAGTGTTTTATACAGAAAAAGGAAAATGTTCTTTTCAAGGAGTTTAAGAAAGCAGCTCAGGTTAAGGTGCATAAGAAAGCCCAGGGTGCTCCAGCATGACCCAAGGGTGCAGGGCACACGGAGTTTGTTTGCTGGGTGTGATTAGATATCACTAATGGGTTTTGTGAGAGGTTTTAAGGCTGGAAAGAACTATTCCATCCATCAGCCTCACTTCTTGCATGACAGAAAATGCTTAAATTTGGATTAGCTGCAGTCTGCTGGCTTGTTACTCTTCTCCTAAATTATTTCAGAGCAAAGGACAGATTGTTTTACCTGCAATCACAGGGAAACAACCTGCCTATCCCACGCTGAGCTGCCACCCTGAATCTCAGGGCTCATTTCCAACACGAGCTGTGAAAAACTCTGTGCTAGGTACCCCTGGCTGGCCCCAGATCTTCGTCTGGGAGTGTTGAGAGTTGAGAGCAGCTCTTGCAGAACAACATGTGAGCAATCCAGAGATTAACCTGGTTTGGTGTGAGACTCTTTCCTGCAGGAAGATGTCCCACGAGCTGTGCCAGGGTGGATCAGGGCTCTCATTAAGGACCCATCTTTCTGTCGTTGTTTTGCAGCCCTGGTCGTGCGTTTTCTCACAAAGAGATTTATTGGGGACTATGAAGCCAACACTGGTGAGTTCTGCTCTCTCCAGCAGCACTGCAGAGAGCTGCAAAAGAAATCCATTATGTTTTGTGACTGGTGCATGTTACAGAGAAGCCAAGTGGTGTTAGATGTCCATAAGTGCATATTTTCAGTTAATAGCCTCGAGCTATGAAAGCAATAATTCAAAGGCTTGTTATTTATGATCCTTTCAGCTGGTTTTTCTCCCCAGATTGATGGAAAAGGATCAGACTAAAAGATTTGCTTGGGGCATACCTATACTGAAACACAGGCTCAAGGAACAACCTACACATCAACTAAACCATGGAAACCCAATGCTGCTCCCCCTGTAACCCCAGGGAAGGCAGAGGAATTCTGAGGAGTGTAAATGCACTTCAGAACCTTTTCTGTGCATTCCCTTTATTTCAGGGGCTATTATAACCAGGGAAACCTTGAAATTGAACCCTTTTCTTCATAAGACAAGCAAAGCAACCATTCATTTCTTGTTTAATCCAGAGGGTGTGTTCATGTGAGCCGTTCCAGGAAAACACTGACTGATTTGGCCAGTGCTGTAGGATGGATCCATGTACCCCCTGTGCTGACCCCTACTGCACATCCCATACATTGGCCACCTCACAATTTTGGGCTGAGGGTGGCCAGAATTCAGAAAATGCTTCAATTTGGAGATGCTTGCTGAGCTCAGGATGAGGAGGGAGCGGCACAAGACACCTTTGATTTGAGGAAATGCACTCTGAAAACCCCTCCTTCCAGCTCCCCCTCCCTGACCCCGAGTAACCCTGATGGTTGGCTGCACTTTTGCTCCTTCTCTTCTGTCACCTCTTCTCTGGGAGGTTGTACATCAAGTGGGAGCTGGGAGCTGTGCAGGGATTGCTGCCAGAGCAGTGCTGGGAGCCACATGCTTTTCCCATTAAGCTCCCAGGCCCACGGCCATGCTGCAGGAGAGGTGAATATTCCAGCAATAAGGAACAGGTGGCAGTGCCCTTGGGATCACTCAGCCCTGCTTATCCTTGTGCCAGGCACCGTTGGGCAGAGCAGGGGCAGTGCCTGGCAGTACCTGCTCTTTGCTCTGCAGGGCATTGTGGAATGGGAACATGGAGTTGTTTGGTTCAGGGGGTGCAGTGCTTTCTCATAAAGCCATCTTTACAGCTTTAAATCAGGTCTGTTTTTAAATACAAACCAAATTCCACCAGGGCTGGATCCCCTCACAGTATTTACCATGATATGATAATGTGTGATTCAGTGCTAAATTTCCTTGTGTTGAAAATGCTCTGTGAGCTCAGGCTCTTTTCCACTGGAATAAAATCACTCGTTTCCTTGAAACAAAGCTGATTTTCAGAAGTGAGGGCATTACTGTCACTTGCTGGGCTCCCTGTTAATCTGAATTCCTTACTCTCCAGTGGGTGGATTTCTCCACATTTAACATTGTTCTGGAGGCAGCAGTGACAATTGTACTGGGGCAAGACAGAAGGGCTGTACACAACAGCTGTGGATTAGCATTTCCTCACAGCCCCACATGACTCCTGTTAAGTTCTAAAGAAAAATTATGATGACATCAGCCTCTGAAGCTGTCCTTGTCACAACCACAGAGTTCATAAGATCAAGACCTTAATTTTCATTGTCATTTAACTCAGCTGCAGTAACAAAATACAGTTCAAACCCTGGATGGCATTGGTTAGATCAGAGCTAGATCAGGCCTAGGTGGGTAGAAGTGGCACTTGGCTAGCAGTATGTGTCCTCCAGATTAACCAAAGTCAGGTTTAAGGTGTCCAGCCTTTGAGGATTTCAACCAAACTCTGCTGAAATCACACGAACCCCAAAAAGCACCTGGGGGATTTGTATACAGTCACTCACTCTGTGTCCAAAACTGGAGCACTTTCCTTTTTTAAAGGCATTCAGGAAAATGCAGCAGGAAACTCTCACTCCTTTCACCAACCACACCTGGATGTCTTCATTTGTGATTATAAAAGTGAACTGCACTTCTGTTTAAAGTTGACAATATGGACTGGAAACCTGAGTGGGATTTATGTGCCCACTTTGAGCCTGTGACTCAATCCTGAGTGGCCCCTTCCCAGCCCCCAGGCTGGCTGTACATTCAGAGCATGTCCCCACACAGCAACACAACCCCACTCTGCTGAGCAAACAGCCACACAGACACTGCAGGGCCAGTCACTTTTCTACAGGCAGCTCCACATCCTAAATCTCAAAGCTCTGGATTCCAACAGTCCCATTTTACCTTTCCCTTGTGAATTTGGTTCTCTGGTACAGCCCCTGACTAACATCTTCCTTCTCCCCCAGGTGCTTTGTATTCCAGGAAGTTCACCATAGATGGGGAGCAGATCTCTCTGCAGGTGCAGGATACTCCCTTTGTCTCATTGGAGGTAAAACAACTGCTCTGTGCTTTTCAACACACTTCTGTCTTATGTTTATTGCCAGCACTTCCATCTGTAATTAACTCTGCTTAGCAGCAGGAAAATACCTGGGCTCAAACCCAAGACTAATCAAGGTACCTTAAACTCTACCAAAATGAGCTCTTGAAGGTGTTAAATCAGGCTCCTTCAGGAGGAAGTAAAAAATTAAAACAATTTTATTTCCAACACATTACTAAACAGCAGTAAAATTACAATCTGGTTCCCTCCTGTCAACAGCTTGATTGTTTTATTATCTGAAAAGTGGTTTCTGTCCCTGCATGGCAGAAAACTCACCTGCCCAGCGACCCAGCTGGCTTAGCTTGGACCTTCCTCCACAGCCAAAGTCTCTCAGATTTAGAGAAGTGTTTCTTTCCAAGGGGCCAGGCTTCACAGCAGCTGTCATTTCCAGCTATGGTGCTTTGCCCTGCTTTCCTTACTCTGGTTTTAAATGTAATCTTTTCCTTTTTTTAAAGGCGTTAGCATTTATCACATTCCTTTTTCTATCAGTGTTCTGGACAGTTGGACTCAATGAAATTAAAGACCTTCTCCAATCTTAATGATTCTATAATTCTATTGTGATATTAAAGACCTTTTCCAATCTTAATGATTTGATTATTCTATTATAGTCTAGATTTAATATTCTACCAGGAAGCTCTTTCTAGAAATATTTTTCCAGGCAGGATTTACATTGTCTCTCCTTGAAGATCTGCTTCACATGCAGAACAAGAGGATGAAAATAGTGTCAAAGCAACAGGAAATGTAGTAACATTTGGGGTTACATGAATGGTGGAAAGCTCATGGAATAAATAAATCCTGCTTGGAAAAATATTTCTAGAATATTTTTCTATTTCAAGAAAAATATTTCTGGTAGAATATTAACTCTAGAGTATAATAGAGAACAGCAGAGATTTTTACAGAACAGCAAAAATTTAATGATAAAATCAAGTATTCTCATTGTACCACTAAGCTTAAACTTCTAGGTGTGGCCTTAACCTCAGACTAAACTTAAATTTGGCCAATATATGTTGGGATGGGAGCACCAGCCTCTCTCCTCATGTGTCAGGCTGCCCTGGACAGCTGTGCAGCCCTTGTTTTACCTGCACAGAGCCACGTGTGCATCTCTGTGCCATGGGACTCTGCCACCCTAAATTCACAGAAGGGAATAAGCAGAGCTCCTGCAGTTCCCAGTTCCAGCCAATCTGACTGGAAGTGGGTTGAAGGGGAAAGCTTTGATGCAATCCCACTCTGCTGTGCTGGGGTGCACAGAGCAGAGGGCAGGAGCCCTCATCTGCTCTGGACACTCAGAACCAAACAAAAGCTGCAGTGGAAGCTCTCCAAATATTCAAATGGGATTTACCAGCACAAAGGCCTTTGCCAGCTTGCCCTGCAGAGAGGAGCTGGGGGGGTGATTGGGCACCACTGGGATTGCCTGATAAACACTTAACAAAGGGAATCCCCTCTCTCTTCTGTGCCATGGAGAAAAGAGGGATTGGAATAATTGAACTCCTGTTTTCAGACCACATAGATGTTATTTTACTATTTAAATGAATGTGACTCCAGAGCTGCACAAAATTTACTCAAGCCTATAGCTGAGGTTGCTTAGTCAGAGATTATTTCAAATTAGTTAGGAAGGAGTTTAATTTTCTTTGTCCCAGTCCAAGGTCTGTGCTGTTCCAAGATCTCCCACAAACACCATTATCTCACCCTGTGTCTGTTTGCTTCAAATGATGTACCTGCAATAATTGAAGGGACTGTGACAGAACAGGTTAAGACTGAGAAAAGGCTGGATTCTTAATTTAAATCCTTAAGGAAGAGAGTTTCCTGCACTCTGTAGGCTGAGTACAGTGTCCAGGAGGAAATCATGTGGAAACCCTCAGGATTCAAGCCCCCAGAAATGTGAAATTGTAAGAGAGAAACAGAAGCAGATGAGTGGTTTTGTTGGGTGATTCATTGCTGCTTGGCCTATACACTGCAAAAGCCTCTGTGTTTCAAAATTCATTCTGGAGCAGAGATTTCCATTTAAAAAGTAGCCCATTAACCTTTGATTTCCTGAATAAAGCATTCCACTTGGGATTATCCATCCATCCATCCATCCATCCATCTCACTACTGGGTGGGCCTGGCTGGAGTGAGGGAGAATTTCTGCTCTTGGGGCTCTCTGAATGTGCACCTTCTCCAAACCCATTTTCAAAGCTTGTTAGGGCAATTAGTTTTTTAGTTTTTTGGGTTTTTTTTTTGTCATGAAAGGGTTTTGCTGGTGAAAAGAGGCTTCCAGGATATGGAGAGTGGCTAATTATCCCCAGACTGGCTACAGCCCAGGCCCCAACAGTGCAAATTGTCCTTCTTCCCACAGCCTGCCCTGGCCTGGCTGCAGTTCAGTCCCATTAACCTTCCCAACAAGGCTGCTGGGGAGGATCCCTCTTCATCATGCTGGTTTGGGGGTTGAGAGGTTTGGGGAGGAGTGATAAGAGCATCTGACAACCAATGTCACTGCTCACAGGATTTAGCTGTGAGCTGCCAAAGAACCTCAAGGTGTGATGAGCCAGTGTCTCTGAGGTTAATAATGAAATATTTACAAAGAGCACTTGGCTGGCAGAACTCCTGAGGAAATTTTTAAGCCTAATTTACACTCTGATCCTTCAGACCTTCGTCCTCACAGAAAAGATTATCAGTAGTTCTTCTTTCACTGTCTGATCTACCAGAAGAAAACTGAGCAGTGTTACTCATTCTTTTCCATCTCTGCTTTCTGAAGTTAGGCTTTATCGTTCATATTTAGGTCTAAATAAAAGTGATCTGTTTGGGGAGAGTGCTGAGCAGTAAATTCTGTTAGAATTAATGTGAATGGCAGATATGTATTCTATAGATCAATAGATAATGGAATATGTTTTCTATTAGTCTTACTGAAGTTGACGGAAATTTCTTTCGTGGAATTTAGCAACAATAATAAAAAATTGAGCACTGTATTTGTGATGCTGAACTCCACTTAAAATATGAAATTTCTATCAGCTTCATGAAGAGTTGTACACAGAATATGCTTGTTATATAAAATGTAACATAAAGGATATTAAAAAAGGATAGAATAAAGGATATTTTAAAAATTACAACATTGCAGAAATGTGATATTGACAGGAGTGTCAGTTCTTCCAAAGCAAGCAGGCTGCAGCAGGGATCTCCCTCTCTGGCTGGGTTATCCCTATCCCAGCAGGGATAACAAAGAGGAGAGGATTAGCTGGAAATAGCTTTATCCTGACGAGTGAGCTGATCTCTTTTCAAGCCCACAGTGCTGTATTCAGCTTTGTATTCCCAGAGCTGGTAGTTGTTGGGGCTCTAAATAGGAGTAGCAATGAACTCAAGAAATGTGTGACCAGCAAAAAATGATATAAACCCATCACTGCTCCACAAATTACCAATGAGATTTCAGCTGATTTTCAGTTCCAGTCATTGGTTCTTGGTAACAAATTGCTTTTTTTCAAAAGAACTTTGACTATCTGGAGACCTGCAAGGCAGGAAAGCCTGGCAGGCTTCACCAAACAGTTACTGAGAGCCTCTGTCCATGGAGACATTGAATAAAGTATTGGAAAAATTGCTAAAAGTGACCAGAGGAGACAGCTGTTTACTTGTCGTGCTGTGACAAACCTGATGGACATTTAATGCTCTTACTGTGCCCATCACTGTTTTATCCACCATAAGAGTGTGAGTTTCTGACTGGCTGGGTACAAGAGAATACAGAACTAACTTTTCAAAGCAGTATTTTGACTTCTCTCTTCAACCAATTTGCTCTGACCCCTCTCCACTCCACGTTACTGCTTTCCTGCAGTATGCAATTAGAGAATCAGGGAATCAGTGATGTTGGAAAAGATGTCCAGGACTGAGTCCAAACCATGACTGATCCCCACCTTGCACTGAGTGACACATCCACTCATTCCTCGTATGCCTCCAGGGATGGAGATTCCAAACCTCTCTGGGCAGCCCCTGCTAATGCCTGACCACCCTTTCCATGGAGAAACCGCTCCTGATACCCAACCTAAACCTCCCCTGGTACAGCTTGAGGTGTTTCCTCTTGTCCTGCCCCTGGGAGCAGAGCCTGGCCCACACTTGGCTCCAGTGACCAGGTCCCCAAGAATCTCCTTTTCTCCAGGCTGCACAACCCAGTACAGTGCTACCAACACCAGGAATTTCCCTGGTGTGGATTTCTCTCCTGGGGTTCCTAGGTCAGGGTGACCCCAAGAGAGATCGTAAAGAGTCTTTGCTTCCCCAGCCTGAACGCAGCTGAAGAAAGGGCCTGGAATGCTTCCAATTGTGCTTTCAAGGTTGTTTATTTCTTCTTGTCTATATGTTCTTTCTCTGACCTGCCAAGATCTAGCTAGCAAGTCCACCATGGCCATCTGCCCTCCCCTGTTGGGTGGTGCTTACCTTTTATATCAAAAGTTGCGTATACTATGTTTACAATTTATTACCAATATCTAACATTTATGTTAGACAGTGTGTCCCTACCTTAAACCAATAGAAAAGTGCCACTATCACAGCAAGACATGGAGGACAAGAAGAACAAAAAGAAGGTCAGGACATGCCCAAATCCCTCCATCTTGTCCCCTGAACCCCTTATCTTAAAAACCCCAAAATTCTATTTTTCACCCAGTGCTGGTTCAAATATCACACTACTAAAACCCTTGTGACCTGTAATTCCTCATCCTCATGGCAGTTTTCCATGGGCTAAAATCAAAGTCACAGGTGTTTTTGACTTCTTTCCAGGGTCTCTGAGACCCTTGCCAGGGTCTCAAGACAGCCAGGGCAGCCAGAGGGATATCTCTGGTACCTCAGAGAGGTTTCTGGCAGTACATTAACGAACAGGCCCGAGTTCAAACCCAGCTTTGGCTGGGGCTGATCCCTGATGTGCAAATCCTGTTTTGCAGGATGACACGGACAGCATCTGCTGCCAGGAGCAGATAAACCGCTCGATCTACTGGGCCGACGGCTTCGTCTTCGTTTATTCCATCACGGACTACGAGAGCTTCCGCGTGCTGCGGCCGCTGCACCAGCACATCCGCAGGATCCACCCCAACGCCAACATCCCCCTGCTGCTCATGGCCAACAAGGGCGACCTGCTGCGGGCCAGGCAGGTGTCCTCCAAGGAGGGGCTGCAGCTGGCCACCGAGCTGGGCGGCACCTACTGCGAGGTGTCGGCGCGGGAGAACTGCGAGGGCGTGCACGAGGCTTTCCAGCAGCTGTGCCAGGAGCTCAGCAGGAGCAGCAGCAGCTGCAACGGGGAGAAGAGGAGAGGTCTCCACCTGGTGCGGCCCAAGTCGCCCAACATGCAGGACTTGAAGAGGCGTTTGAAGCAGGCTCTGACTTCCAAAGGCAAATCTGCCACCACGCTTTGATGCGGCCGCCCAGGAGTTTTGTTCCAGAGCCCTGGATAAAAAGGCAACTGTGAGTTCATGGGCCCCAAGTTGGGCAACTCCCTGGGGGCTCCCCTGGCAGGGGAGATCCTCCTGGAGCAGTTCTGTGTCAGGAATGAGAGACGCATTGGACTTTTTTGGTCTCCAGGTTCTTGTTTTATTGGTATCTTATCATGACTTCAGCACACTGTCTGCACCCAGACCTTGCATGCGTGAAAACAGCACAAAAATGGCCAACAACCTCGTGCTGCAAGGTCTTTTGAAGCCTAATCAAACACTAAACTACCCAATTAAGAAGTGACATCTAAATTATTTTCCTTTCTAACCCCATAACTGACCCCTAAAGACCCGCAATGCAGATTTTTCTACCCAATTACAAGATACCACCTAAACCCAAGAAGAAAGAGGAAGAAGACGAGAGAAGAAAGGAACTCAAGACAACACCCTCTATCCTCCATCTTGAACCCATCTATAACATACTAAAAATCCTAAAACCTAAATTTCTCACCCATGTGATGTACTACACTACTCTCTACAATCTCTGCAATCTATTTCACACTTTTGTGGTTTCTAGTTTACCTTGAGGTTTTGGAAATTTTCTTCATGAATGAGGGTCGAAGTCAGTGTTTTCCTGGGAGTTAGAGCACCCCAGGGCAGACAGGGGGATATTCCCCTTGCCCTGGGCTCCCACAGGCAACAAGCTGGGAAAAAGGGGCATCAGTTCAGCCATTGGCTTGTGTGAGAGAATCTCAGGTCCTGTGAGAGACTCTCAGGTCCTGTGAGTGACTCTTTCATTTGGTCTTCACAACTTTATCAAAAAACCCCTTCTCGTTCAGCAAAGGAACTCACAGAATTTGCTCTCTGGGGCAGGGATTTCAAAACTGTGGTTTAAAAAAAGAGGTTGTCTCAAATTCATTCTATCTTTTTGGTTTTGTTTAGAAAGGGGTGCAGTCAAATGTCTTGGTGTTAAAAAATGTGTTTTGTTAATGAAAATTATGAAAACCTGCTTTTAAGAGATGAGACTTGCCTTGGGAATGATTGTGTTCCCAAACACAGGCAGTGAACTGCAGCAGGACATGAGGAGAGTGATGGGAGCTGTACCGAGCAAGGAAAATGGACCAGACCTGCTTCACTGCAAGACTGGAAAATAAATGAACAAATTCATTTAAATGAAGAGCATAAATAGTGAAAAGTATTAATTGAAAGAATGAGTTCTGAGCAATGGGGAGGAATTTGTACATATGCACACTTAAGCCTTGTGGTGTCCCTTTAAAGGGAGATTTTTTTTAAAAATCACTATTTTTTCAGATTATTTTTGTTTAAAAGCACAGTGACTGCTTCTGAAAGTAACTATTTGGGCAAAATACAAACTTGTGGCAGCATTTTGTTGTCAGTTTTTCCATGGCATTTCTCATTTTTCTGAAGGTTTCTTACATGGCAAAAGGGAAAAATAGATCAGAGTGATTTAAAACCTGCCAAAAAATGAACTTCACTGATCAAGAGCAAGGATGTCACCTAAAACTCTTTTTTTTTTTTTTTTCCCCAAACCAGTTAGACTTCAAGTTCAAAATGCTTTTAAAGAAACAAAACCTTCACATGAAACACATTTACATTATTAGTTTGTCCAGGTTTTTTTTTTTAAGAAGAAAAGGTTTTATGATGCCTGAAATTCTTGGCTTTGGGAATTCATTATTTTGTTATTTGAGTGTTTGTTGTTAAACCCGGGCTTCCCTGAACAGCTCCCAGAGCATCCCAGCCTGTCAGGACATTTCCCAGTGGCAGCGTCTGGTTGTGCCTCAGCACATCTGAGGCTTTGGGGCTGCATCCCATAAACTGATTTATGGAACCAATAACAACACCACAGAGCTCCCAGCACTCTGTTCTCTGTGAGAGTGGGGAGGAACGGGCTTGGACCTTGTAAAATTCATGATGAACCAACCTCTTCTTCAAACAGAGCAGATGAGCAATGCAAGCACCATGAAATGAAGGCAAGCTCAGTGATTTATACTCAGGGACACTGGAGGGAAACCCAAGTTTGATGGATATGGAAAAACACTCCCAGCTGCAGTTTCATCTGGCAAGACTGAGCTAAATCAGCCTTTTCCTCATTAGGAGCAGCAAAAATGGAAATGGAGTCTGATGAGTATTTGTATAGCTCAGGGCTTTAAAATGTACTTTGTATTTTTCATTTCCCTATATTAGACAGCTCTAGCCATGATTTTATCACCTGGATTTGCCTTATCTACAGCTCACTTTCTGTTTTATTTATTGTTTTCCACAGCTGCTCATCTGAGAATGTCTTATGTTCTGATTCATTTAAGAGTCTTTCATTCCCACAAATGCTCTGCACCTGGTTTTAAATTCAGTTTCAAGTGCTATTAGGAGGGGAAAAGTTGGATCATCCAAAAAGGGACTCAAATTATATCAGGGAATTTTTACTTTGGCTTATGCTTAATTAACAATTTGGTGTTTGAGCAGTGTCATTAATCATCCCAGGCATTTTGGCATTTATGGCATGGAGTTTCAGTGTTTTAAATTAATAATAACACAACTCAAATATTGTGAAAATAATATGAAAATTCAATGTGAAAATTCAATAACTCAAATATTGAATCTAGAGATTCAATGGCTCAAATATTGAGTCTAAAGATACAATAACAAGGAGTAGAGCAGTTTGCAAGACACACAGAAAGTATTTTTGTGTTGGAAAAATGATCACCAATTTTGAATAGCAATTAACAATTTTGCCACTCAGTACTGTATAAAAAGGGCTAAATTTGCTGAAGACATTTTGCTGATATTGATTTGTTGGCATCTTCCTTCAGCTCAAATCCTTTCTAATTTGGGAAGAAATGTCACCAAAATTCAAACCTGTCAATGTTTTAGTTTCATTAGTGATTAATAAAAATGTGCAAGGTCTTCCCTAAGTAGTCAATAAAATGGATTCTTTATGTGTCACATATTTAAATATTCTTTGTTTACACTAAAATCTATTGTTTTCCCTTCTTGCAACCTAAGACACCCTGCTTTAGAAATATTCCTTATGTAGGGAAATACTACTTATGCAAATAAGTATTCCCACATTCCTGTAGGGGGGGAAAAAAAAATCTACATTTTGGCTAAAGCCAAAAAAGATTGAAACATTTAATTCTTCTCTTAGGTACTAACATGTGGCAAACATTTATTCTGCTACAGAAACTTTAGTATTTCCTTTGTTCATTGACCAGGAGTACAAATTCTGGTTTAAAGCCAGGACTAACCATCTACAGAAGGTAATAAAGCTCAGTATTTTTATTTGGGGTGCAGCAGCTGAGCCCCAGGAGACCTCACTGTGCCCCAGGGGCAAGGCTGAACGACAGCACAAAAAGCAGGGTGAAAAGAATGCTATAGAATTAAGTGCCTAAAAATAATCCTGTACAAGATCAAAATTTAGTCATGTAGAACCTGATCCTGAATTAGAAACTTCAGGCTGCCAGGGGAAAACATGTATTCTACTGAAGCTTTAAAATTAACCCTCTGGAGAGAAAGTACTGCCATAAAGTCAAGAGGGGAGAGGGAAAAAAAAGATTTGGGAGTGTGGAGTGATTTTGGGATATCAAAGGAAATTCTTCTCTCAGTTCTATTGATTTAGTCCAGATAACTCCACTGGAATCAATACCAACAGCAGTGAACTGTAGAATTCTTTCTTTTAATTTTTTTTTTCTCATCCCTTGTCATTCTCCTGAGCATTTTAAATCTTTGTGCACCATCTGGTTTTCAAGATGATTTTACAGCTGGGTTTACTTGGGCACAAAGCAGTTGAATGATTTGCCCCAAGGTTACACAGCTGAGCAAGTACTTGAGAGGAACTCCAACCCTGTGTCCTTTGTAATTAATTCCCAACTCTCTACAACAGCTCTCAGACCTTACACCTCCCTCAAGGTCTGCACAAAGCACAGTTGTATTGCACAGGAATGTAATTAAAAGTTGGGAAAAGTCTCTTAAATTTCACCCTTGTTAGGGACTGAGCAAAGTCAGTGAGAGGCTGGCACCTCACAATTAAACCAAGACAGGCTGGGAATATTTATTATATGAATATACTACTTAAGATATTTGTTAATGGTTATTTCTGTGTTTCTGTCAGCTGCATCTTGGCCAGATCCCTTAATCTGAGTTACTCTGCCCATAGGTCACAGATAGCTGTCACACACTTCAGCATCCCTGGGATAGAATCACCAAGGAGAAATAAAGGAATTGCCTCCATTTGCATCGGGGTGGCTGAAATATTTACATCTGCACTCACATCTTGCTTCTGCATTTTAAAGTTGTTTATTGCAACATTTAAAATGTTGTTGTTGTTGTTTGGATCCCAAATTTTCACCCAGAGCAGAGGATAAAACCAGAAAATTCAGGTCCTGATTTCAGAGAACTGCTCAGACAGAAATATTTGTATCCAGGGTACCTGGCTGCTCCTAGGATTTGTGTCAGGTGTACAAATGAAGAAGAAATAATTTTCTGAGACATCAAAAGAAATTTGCTCTGTACCAGAAAACAGCTGTCTAATTGTTTTCCAAGGCAAGCTGGGTGGCTGCCAGCTGATTGTTACTGCTGCATTTCCCTCTGCCCACTGACAGAGTAGATTTGGGGTCAGAATCCCACTGCTGTGTTTGCAGAGTCTGCATATGGCCCTGAGGCACAGAACACAATGAAATACTTGCTAATATTTCATGTTCATGGGTTCTCAGAGCTCTGCTAAACTGTGCCTGTCCCCTCTGGGGCTCACACAGGAAAACCACGGAATTAAAGTTAAAAAATCTCCAGCTTCACTTTAAAAGCTCACAAGCAGGGACAATAGGGTAGAGAAGATGATCCAATCTATCACTAATGGAGACAAAGCAAGACTCTTCCTTTGATTATTTCTCACTGGCTCTGCCCTCCTTGCCCCCTTCCATTCATGCCTTTGTTCCCATTTCACTTAGCAAGCTAAAACTTCTGCATTTCGTCTTCCTTTGCCTTAGAAACATACTTTTGCTGGCTAGTTTAAAATTTATTTCCAAATATTTGATCTCTAAACATGTTTTACAACAAAAGAAGAGTGTCTACTTAGTCTTTTGACCTTATTTACCTAAAGCATTTTAAAACACAGCTACAACTCTGTGCTTTGAATTCCTGTCACTTCTCCCCAAGAGCTCTCACTGGCTTAGCCCAATATTTCCTCCCCTTGTTCTGTGCTTACAATGTTGGGCTTATTCATGTTGCAGAGTCATTGCTTACTTAAACCTGTTCAGTTCTTAAATTTTGCTGCTCTCCTCTGAAATCCCTTCCATTTAATCAGACAGATTCTCTTCTCTAAGCAGCTGTGCAACTGGAAAAGGAGCTCAGAACAGCTGGTGATTTTCTGCTCTGTCAGATTTTAGCCCATTATTGAAGATTTTGGAATAAACAGGAGCATGGAAAATGATCCAGCAAACCCATTGCTTGTCTCTATCTGTAGCTGGTGCAATAATTTTATTTGTCATGAAGTGGACAAAGGTCATCCTAAATGATAATGTTTTTTCCTACAGATGGAAAAACACCAAATATGAAGCAGGGAGCTGAGCTGATAGACTGTAAACCCTGGGATCCAATTTATTCAGGAGCTGTCACACCAATCTTCTCTTCTTTAGAAGATACATTTTTTACATTTTCCCTCTTATCCAAAAGGGTTTTGAGATGGAGCCTCTGCGTCCCATCACACAGACACTTCCCATCCCCTCCAGCAGGTCAGGGGAAGCTGCACATTTTCCAGGGATGATGGGTGGAACTATGCATGTCTGTGCTGTTATGAGGGATGATTGTGGAGACTGTTCCTAAGGACGTTTTTCTTCTCTCTGGCCAGTAATGCAGAACACTCACAATCAGTAACCAGTCATTTGGAAAAGATATGAGGGGGTTTGTGCTGAATCTGGAGACACTCTGTACCTTCTCTGATGGTTAGAAAGCTCACCAGATAAGCAGAGGTTGGGTTTCTTCTGAGGCTGCCTTTGAACTCTCACAGAGAGAGTTGAATTATTTCACTTTTGATTGTGATCCAGGTTTCCAGATGCTTGCACAGGCCACCACTCTTTGCTGTTCTGCATTGTATTTCACTTCAAAACCCAATAGTTTCCTTTGCCATGCTGAAAAAGCTAATTTGGAACCTCACATTAATAATGTAGCAGCCTTTTCTCTTGATTCCCTGTTTTTGATGAAGGTCAAAAACATTTGTTGGGGACCTGAACTCAAACTCATGCTTTTCAGCAAAGGTGTTTGTCCAGGTTACCCAGAGCAGCTGTGGCTGCCCCTGGATCCCTGGCAGTGTCCCAGGCCAGGCTGGACAGGGCTTGGAGCAACCTGGGGTAGTGGGAGCTGTCCCTGCCAAGGGCAGGGAGTGGGGCTGGATGGGATTTAAGGTCCCTTCCAACCCAAACCATTCCATAACTCTGTGGTTTTGAATGAACAAGATTCTTCATTTTTTACCCAGCAGGACCCCAGCAGTTCTGTGACAGTAAAGAGCAGTGTGATCAGGGAATAAGAGAGGAATCTAATCTTTGAATTACTCTCCCTTATTTTCCATAAGGGAGACTGACTCTCCCTCAAGCTCTGGGAAAGGTGATAGGCTGGTGGTGCTGCTGGATATGGAGGAAGTGATGGTGGCAATTCTGCCTCGACAGTCTGTGCTCCAATCCCTCCATCTGGGAATGGTGGCAGAGGTCAACATCTGTAGGAACCTCCCAAATGCCCAAAGGAAGGTTACTGGGAACTATCAGCTCTCTGAGGCTGAACCAAAATGTTGTTTCTGTGAACTATGCACCTGGAGATGCTTTGCTGAAAAGGAAACCCAGAACCCAAGCCTGGGAGAGCCATGAGTGTTTCCCATCCACATCCTGTGGGAGCAGTGGTGAGAACCTGGCATCTTCATCACCTTCCAGCCCACGTGGCTCCATCAGGCCAATATCAAAGTCACTTCTGCTCCTGAAGTTCCATGGTACTGCTGTTCCCAGTGCAAACACTGGGAATGGAGGGTTGGAGTTGCCCTTCTCGTCCACCCTTTCAGCTGCCAAGACCACCTATGAAGGCAGAACCCAAGAGCTAGCACCAGATACCAAATATATCTGACAAGTGTTCATCAGTCTGTGCTGGAGAGCAGGAGCTGGCTCTCAGGAGAGCCCTAATCTGCCAAAAGAGCAGCTTTTAAAGCCCAGAATACATATTTGTGTCAGGCCTGTGAAATGATACATTTTACATGTAAGTGCTGTTCTGTGGGAGTTATTTATTAGGCAGCTTTAAAGGAAGCAAGAAGTTTTGTTTCTAAATCCTGAGTGCTAATCATTGAAAGTCCTTATTTTATCTGTTTTCGTAGCTTTAATTTTAGCCATTTGCACTTCTGAACCTCAAACTGTGGAATGAAATGGAACACATGGAGCCAGAGGTTCATCTCTTTATACATTTGGAAATGCACATTTTCACTACACTGCAAATACATCTCAGCACTGGAAGAATGAAAAATCTTGAGTAGGGCCGAGAGAATATGTTCAGTTTGCCAAGTCCAGACATTCCTGAATTCCACTGCTGTGGCTTCTGGGGAGAACCACCGATGAGAGAAGAACAGACATTTAAAAACCATCAACCCTCATCACCCACTTACACACATGGTTTGCAAAGAATTTGAAAGCCAAGGCATCTCAGGATGAGAGGAAGGGCTCTCAAAGGGTTAAATGCTTCCTGCCTTTAATCTAGAATCACGTAATGTGGAATGAATGCCTCAGCTCAAACTGTTTCCTCACTCTGACAGTTTCATGGTGTGAGGTCAAAGTGTGGGAGAGATGGAAGAGGAGAGGGGGAGCATGGAGTGGTGAGCTGCTAAATCCAGAGAGACATCCAGAGAAATAAAAAAGATGGATTCTCCAGCAGCCTCAACCCAGCAGGGATGGCTGTGATGGAGCCATGGGTAAATGTGT